CTCCTGTCCAGCTCCCTGTTAATGTGCCTGGGAAAGCAGTGGAAGATGGCCCCACTGCTTGGGCTCCTGTCCTCATGTGAGAGATGGGGAAGAAGCTTCTGGCTTCCACTAGGTTACATTGAAAGGGTGCAAAAAGATTGGTGGTCAAGATCCTTCGGAGTTGGGATATTCTCTTTGGGTTCTCGCAGACAGACTTTAGAACTTGTTTTGGTTGCAGAGGGCTAACCAACAAAAATGCCCAGGGCCCTTGGGAGGGCCCAGTTCCAACAAGGCCCTCTTCCAGTGCAGTAAAACTGATTCAGGCTCCTGCCACCCTGTATATATTTCTTGAATGTTGAAACACATGCTTCCTTGAAACTACTGAGAGTCTTTCACTATGGGGAATCAAGGCAGAGTTAAATCCAACTGAGACAGGAATTCTTGTTTGTCCCTGCTGTTTCTGCCATACCTTCAGCTCCCAGCCTGCTGCTTGGCCCCTTGTGGCCATCCAACATGTGTATTAGTGAATGAGTGAATCAGTGGACAGTCCTCAGCACAGGAACCAGGATAAGTGAGAAATCGTGGGATGTGTATGGGAGCGTGTAGTGCAAAGACTGAGTATGTGAAGAACTAGGGAAGCAGAGGCAGGATAAGACTGTGCTGTGGAAAGTCTTAGGAGCCAGATTAATTTGGAATTTCTAAGCAGTAGGAAGCCAGTGAAGATTAGGGCCTCGACAGTGAGGGAAACGTCCATTGTATTAGACAGAATTTATTCGTGGTATAAGCAACTTCCTTTGCCCCTCCTAGCACACTTCCTGCCAAGAGACACATAGTAAACTACACAGTATTTTCTATGCTATACACCCAGTAAACTCACCCAGTGTCCTATCTACAGATTTCTTGGGCTGAGGTTATAGAGGACACGAGGGAAGCCAGTGTAGCTGGAAGACTGCCTTGAGCCAGGACGCTGGCATGTTATAAACAACTGGTACATGGAGGCAATTCTGAGTCTCTCTGACCTCGCCCAAAAGGTCAGCAGGAAGTTGGCCGTGCAGGCTCCTTTACCCCAGCAGGTTGATTTTGCCCTCAGACCCCTTCAGCAAGGTTCTCTTGTTCCCTGCCAATGAGACTCTTTCTAATACTGACTTTCTGGTTTTCCAAGGTGTTTATTTCTTGAGCCTGCACATTTTTTCTTCCAGGTGATGTCCCTGGACTATGAGGGAGGGAGGGAGTCAGCAGCCCAGCCTCTTGGCAGACCACACCAAAGCACCACATGCTTTTACCCTGAACTATGTTTATGCTTTCTTGAGGGGGGTTGCAAGGAATGTGTGACAAAGTGAGGAGATCTAGGGGAAGTCTTTGGGAGTGGCATATGTAAAATTCCATCTCCAATCCCAGGTGATGCTTTTGCTTGTTTCTTTTTAGTTTCCATGTTTATTTTTCTTTCATTTCCTCCTCTTCTACTCTCCCCAACCCCCATTTCCCCTTTCTCATTTTTAATGCACTTTTCTCTATTTTCTATATTCTTTCTTTATTCTTTCTTCTACTCCCTCATTCTCCCCATCGTGTTTTTTTTTTCTGGGTACAGCTACCATTTATGCAGTTCTTTTTTGCTGAATACAGTGCAAAGTTCTTTCTATATATCACCTCATGGCCCTGCATGAGTGCCTCCATTATGCAGATGACAGAGTGAAGCACAGATTGAATAATTCATCTAAGCCCAGCAGACAGTGACAGGGACTTGAGCTCCAGTTCCCTAACTCCTGTGCCTGTCCTCACTGGGCTATTGCATGGTTTCTTTCCTATGTTTCCACTTCCTCCCTTGCCAGTCACTTGTTGTGCTCTCTTTCTCTCCTTCCCCTTCTCTCCAGTGCTTGACCTTGAAGGTGCTGAACACCATGCACGCGCCCAGAAGAGAGGACAGACCATGCACACACTTATCTAATCAGCCATTCTCCTTTTGAGCAAGTGTGCCACAATTTTCCACATTTGGAGATTTGAAGGAAGGGCACCCTTCAACCACCTGAGGCGAAGAGGTGGAGGCCTGCTCACCCATCAGAAGAAGGACCTTGGGATCTGGCTGGGTGTTTGATACAGAAAGGAACTGAGATAAGTCCCTTTCCGCTGACTCAGGGCCTCTCTGTGTACTGTCAGGGCTGGGGACTGGGAGAAGACAGGGCCAAGAGGCTGGTTTCTGTCAGAGCATCAGCTCTGCAGCCAAGGAAGCCAGGACTGGGAAGTGTAGCTCCCTGCCCTGGCTTTTCCCATAAGCGTAAAGAATGTTGCGGTAGGCACCAGAAGTGTGTTGGCAGCAAAGATGTAAAGGTCAGAGTTTGAACTTGGCAACTGGTAAGGTTCCATCCTAAGCTGAGGCTCTTTGATGTTAAGAATAGAAGATTCATGTCCAGTTCCCTCCTGTCTCTTTACCATCCTGCTGGTTAAGATTGGCTGAGAGACCTAAATGATAAGGACTCTTGTTGTTCACCAAGTAAGGATTTTGGAGATAAAAGATTCAAGAGTTGATTCTGAGGTGTCAAGACCCTGATTCCCTGCAAAACTTCAGATATCTGGGCTCACATGACCCTGCCCTCAGGCAGGAAGCAGAGGGAGTGAGGAGGACTGGAGGCTCCCTCTGTTTAGTGGGGAATGGACAACTCTTTCCAGAGCACTCCCTACATGAGACCCTCTCCAGTCCTTACTGACCAGAGCTTGTTGCCATGGAGATTAAAAATTAAAAAAGCAAAGCAATATCTGGTTTCTGTGCCAGGAGGTAAGGAATAAGGAATTGATTTGCCACTGGATAAAGAAAGCCCGTGCCTGCCACCTCCTCTTTCCAACACTCAACCAAGATTTGATAAGCACATCCTTTGAGCCAAGCAGTCACTGATCTCAAGTGGTTCTGGTTGGGAGTTGAGAGAGGTAGAAGATGACCAAGTGTGGTGGTCAAGTGCTAAGAGAGGGAGCTGAGGAGGCTCAGCTGGAGGGAGGAGGAAGGAATAGAGGGGAGGAATGATTGGATTAGGATTTTTTTTTTTATTGGGGAGACAGAGACAAGGAGGGAGGAGAGAGAGAAAGAGACATTCCCAAAAGCCTGCAGTGACTGCAGGCATGAAGTCGTCAGGACCTGAGAACTCAACCCAGGTGTCCATGTGCATGGCAGAAATTTAACTACTTGAGTCATTACTGTTGCCTCCTAGGGTCTACAATAATAGGAAGCTAGAGTCAGGCTTTGGAGTCTAGTATTGAACTCAGACACTCTGATGTGAGCTGTGGGTATCCTAACTGCTATATTACTTCCAGAAAAGTAATACCATCCCTCACCTCTCTCTCTCTCTCTCTCTCTCTCTCTCTCTCTCTCTCTTTTTCAATTTGAGAAGCAAGAGGAAGAGTATACACACACATGCAGATTCAGTTAGGTGCAAAGGTGTGTAAGAGTTAATTGTGGCAGAAGTGGCAGTGAAATGGTGCTGGAGAAGCTGATGAGGGAAGATGTTGCAGGGACATAAAGATCTGGGGCATTTAATCTGGACAAGAGGGTGAACAGGTTTGGGGCAGGATAAGGAAGTCATGTCCCTAGACAGGGTAAGCCCAGCTGTGTGGCTGGAGCAACTACACACCGCTCTGGGTTTACCAGCTGGGGGAAGCCCTGCATTCCTCAGTGACACCTTTAGGTGGGGGAACTGGAGCTAACTGTTTTGGTTTCCCCATGCCAACACAGCAGGTGGATGATAGATGGTTCCATCCACCACAGAATGTTTCCTGAGGGTCCAAGTGTGCTTCTCCCACTCATACTCCCTCCCCCACCCCAGAGTTATGCCATGAGTTATGCCATAGAGCTTCCTTGTTCATGCACCAGCATGTAAATATCTATGATACAATTTCAGTGTATTGCACACCTCAATCTCATGACGAATGTGAAGACAGATTCATTGAGAGAAGTGTCCAGAGTCAGGACTATGAATTTCGATCCTGTGTTTCTCCAGGTACGGCTGCATCCAAAGCACGACAGTTGCTTGTTGCAAATCTGAACTCCTGGGGGCCACTGTAGACCTTCTGAAGTAGAATGTCAGGAGTAGGAACCCCGAAGATGTGTGTAACACACACCTCAGCTGATTTCTAGATCCAGTAGCAGGCAGGGGCTATGTCTGATTCTTGCTAATGCAATCATGATCACTTTGAATCTTTTCTTCCTTTTCATTTTTTTCCTGGGGTGGGAGAGAGGAGTTCTTTGGGTGAATTTGATTTTAAAGTCACACTTTTCTTTTAAAAAAATAGGAACTAATTGAAAGGCAGAAAGAGAATCTACTTGCTTGTTCACTGCCAGGGCTGGGCCAGGCAGAAGCCAGAAGGCAGGAAGTTCATCCCAGTCTCCCTCATGGTGACAGGGGCATGGCTACTTGAGCCACCATCCCCTACCAACCCGAGAACATTAGCAAGCAGCTGGGTTGCTGGTGGAACAGCCAGGATTCCAACTGGCCCTCTGGTATGGGATGACAGAGTTGCAGGCAGCAACTTAACCCCACTGTGTCACAATGCAGACAATGAAATCATATTTTTTCTTTTAAATATTTATGTTATTTATTTGAAAGACAGATCTCTCTCTCTCTCCCTCTCCCTCTCTCTGTCTCTCTCTCTCTGTGTCTCTCTCAACTCCACCCCCCCACACACATACACACAAACACACACAGAGGGTATTTTCCATCTACTGGTTCCATCCCAAATGGCTGCAACTGCCTAGGGTAGCGAGGCTGCTTCCAGGACCAAGGAGCTTTTTCCAGGTCTTCCACGTGGGTGTAGAGGCCCAAGCACTGGAGCCATCTTCCACTGCTTTCCCAGGTGCCTTAGCAGGGAGCTGGTTCAGAGGTGGCTCAGCTGAGACTCCAATCTGTGTCCATGTGGATGTCGGTGCTGTAGGTGGCTGCTTAACCTGTTTCTTGAAGAAAGCATTGGTATGGACACATTCCTCTCTTTCTCTCCCTCAGCTGCAGTAGACTTGGTGTCTGTCCTCTGGCTTGGCCAACATGGGTGACTGGAGCTTCCTGGGAGAGTTCCTGGAGGAAGTACACAAGCATTCCACGGTGATCGGCAAGGTCTGGCTCACTGTGCTCTTCATATTCCGCATGCTGGTGCTGGGCACCGCTGCTGAGTCTTCCTGGGGGGACGAGAAGGCTGATTTCCAGTGCGACACAATCCAGCCTGGCTGCGAGAATGTCTGCTACGACCAAGCTTTCCCCATCTCCCACATCCGCTTCTGGGTGCTGCAGATCATCTTCGTCTCCACGCCGTCCCTTGTGTACATGGGCCACGCCATGCACACGGTGCGTATGCAGGAGAAACGGAAGCTGCGGGAGACCCAGGGCACCAAAGAAGGGCGGGGTGCCGGCTCTTACGAGTACCCAGCGGCCGAGAAGGCGGAGCTGTCCTGCTGGGAGGAGGTGAATGGACGGATTGTCCTGCAGGGCACTCTACTCCACACCTACGTGTGCAGCATCATCATCCGCACCACCACGGAGGTGGCCTTCATCGTGGGCCAGTACCTCCTCTATGGGATCTTCCTTGACACCCTCCACGTCTGCCGCAGGAGTCCCTGCCCACACCCCGTCAACTGCTACATTTCCCGGCCCACCGAGAAGAACGTCTTCATTGTCTTCATGCTGGCCGTAGCTGGGCTCTCCCTTTTACTCAGCCTCGCTGAACTCTACCATCTAGGCTGGAAGAAGATCAGACAGCTCCTACCCAAGTCACAGCAGAGCACCGGCCAGCATCACCTGCCCGGCTGCTCTGCAGGCACAACCCAGAACTGCACCCCTCCACCTGACTTCAGTCAATGCTTGGCAAATGGACCTGGGGGGAAATTCTTTGGTCGCTTCAGTAACAATATGGCCTCCCAGCAGAACACAGACAACCTGGCCACCGAGCAGGTGCAGGGCCAGGAGCGGGGTCACATCCACTATGACCAGAAACCCGAGGTGCCCACTGAAGTCTCACCAGGCCAACACTCCACTCATGGCTACCAAGGTGACAAACGCCGGCTTAGCAAGGCCAGCAGTAAGGCCAGGTCAGATGACTTGTCAGTGTGACCATTCACTGAGAGAGGACCACAATCCACTGGGAATAAAAGAGTCACAGAAAGGGAAAGGGGTGGCCCATGCTCTCATCCTCCTGGTTGCTCTGCTTCTTTGGGTCTTGGGCCTCAGAGGCATTCCTTGTTTATACCCAAAGGTGTAACCAGGGCTCCAAGAGTGTGGTTCAGACATGGCCACCCTCTTGACTCCTGTCCTGTCCCATTGCCTACCCACTGTCTTCAGTGAAGCCTTGCAGATAGCTCATTGAACAGGGTAAAGGAAGGGAGGGGAACCATGGCCGAATCTAGCCTGGGAGGGAGAACCAGAGGGCCAGCAATGTGCTAGGAATATCCCAGGTGGGTTTTGCAAGACCCTTGGCTTCTGAGACCTCATCACCCTCCAATGCCCAAGGACAGTGAATCAACAAATCACTGTTCAGATGTGTTCACGAATCTGTTCTGTGCATGAGCTGTACCTGACAGTAGTGGTGAGGTAGCCTTGGGCTGCCCTGGGCTGTCCCTCCCTCTATCCAGTCTTAAAAAGGGATCTTTGGAACCTAACCAACAGCCTCAAATTTACAAGTGCCTTGGCATGTACAGCTGACAAATGTCCTAGCTCGGTGGTGTTGCAGCCTTCTCTTCAGCCAGGGTGCATAGCCAGTCCATAGTGGTGCCAGCTCTTCTAAGGAGACACTGGACACAACAACTCCACAGGAGCCCCAGCCACCACCTCCCACCCTGCAGCTCCTTTGCAATGCCACCCAACCCCAGAAGCCACCCTTGCCCTTCCTCCCTTGGCTGTTCACCCAGTGCTCTTCTGGTAGAATGCCAGAGGAACCATTGACCTCATTCAGATCCTCATCAGATCCCTAGCCCCCTGAGGCCAGTGGAATTTCTCCAGGTCTCATGAAAACAAAGCTAATATTGTGAAGCTCGAAATCTCTTTGGGAAAAATATAATTCTGCTGTGAAGATGAAAATAAAACAGGAGAGAAAACACTGGAAAACTCCTTTTTCTTTCCTGTTTTCCTTGTTCACTGCCAACCTAGAGTGCCAAGAAGAGGTATGGTGACAGATATGGAAGCCCCCATGTCTCTCTTTCCCCAGCAGCTATATTAGGGACTTGGGTGCAGCAAGGGAATTTCCTGCTTTCTGAACAAGGTCTTGCTTAAAGAGCAGAGAGTCTCACATCTCCCTGGTGCCTCTAATGAGACTGCAAGGTGGGAGATGCCTCTCCCTGGGGCAAGGCTGATGTCCCTGTTCAGTGATTCCTTCACAGGTGGCTACCACTTTAGATACAGGTAAAGGATGCTCAGAATTGGATACTGAGACTTACAGAAAAGTTGATATCTTTTTAAAAATGCATGTGTGTGTGTGTGTGTGTGTGCGCGCGTGCAAGCATGTGCATGCTAATGGGTGAAGGGGGGATCCTGCCATAAGGAAAGTGGAAGAACTTATGTCTTATCTTCCCCTCAAGCTTTCTGTCTGAGGGGCTGGACCTCACTAGCATGTGGGATGTCAGACAGAGGAGAATGAAGGCTAAGAAAAAATGCTCAGCCTCAGTTCCACCTGCTGATCCTTGGGCCTGTGTACTGCTATTTAGGTCCTCCTTGTGGGATGAGAATAGAGATGTGGAGGGAATTGGCTGGGATACCATTTGGGAAAGAAGGGCTGATCATCCCAGGGCCCTGGATTCGGGATACCTTTTTATCCATTGCCTGGTACCAGCATCGAGGTTCTCTCTCCTTCCATCTCTGAGATGTTTGTTGTGAAATGAGTACTGTTGAATTGGAAACTCAAAGAGATCAGTCCTTAGTGGTGAGACCTTCAGAAAGGAGAAAGGAAGTAATATGTGTGATTTTCTTAATAAAATTTTTCTCATTGCCCAACTCTGTTGTGTCCTAGTCATGTAGCTGCTGTAAGAGGAGGTTGGCAGGCTTGGTACGGGGAAGGGAGTACTTGACCTCAACCCAATAGACAACTGTAATATAAATGTAATGTAAGGGACACTGAAATCAGAAATGCTATACTCAAAATTCCAGGTGCTGATTTACATCTTTAATTCTACTAAGTATCAAACTGCAGACTACTTACTCTCCAAGGCTTGGCTTCCTCATCTGTAAATTGGGCCTACTAACCTCTACCTCACAGCATTATTGGAAACACTGCTTACAAATTGTTTAGTAGGGTGCTGGGAAAAATAGCCGGTCAGCAGATGGTAATTGTTACTATGATCCTTACTACGTTTTTGTTGTTGTTTTGAACAGATAGTATTGCAAAATCTGAGATATGGAGTAGCTGTTCTAGAACTTTGCCTTGTAGAGCTCACAATCTGCTTATAACCATCAGATTCATTCACTTAAAAGGAACACTTTGAGTAGAATGAAATGGGAATTCATTTCTGTATTCTAAGAATCATACAGCTCCAGGAAGTGACACATGGGGGAGGGGGCTAGAGAGGGAAGTCCTGACCTGGCTCCTGAAGAATGGCAAGGTGTTTAAGAAGTGGGGACATCAAGGGTGATTCGGTGAGGTTGGTTTTAGCAGTCTCACTTTGCAAGCCTGGAGACTGGGCTCTGGGGAGGTTTTGTCCTATAGTGAAGTGGCTTCCAACAAACCTCTCTGACTGTGACTGCATTCTTTTGGAAGAAGCAAAATGATCTTCTCTCCAAATAGGGATTAAGGGACCACCAGTCCTTCATCAGCAAATAGGTATGCTTTCTGAGAGAAAGAAGCAAGGGTCAAGATAACCAGACGCATATGATCTTGACCACAAACCTGGCTTGTTTGCCATGGCAGGAGAGTTCTCCGAGGAGGTAGCTGTGAAGAGATCCCAGAACACAGGTCAGGGTGCCCATCTGTCCAAGGGCAAGGTGCTCATACCAGAGGTACCCAAATAATCCAACTGGGAAAAACACCCAGAACGCATTTTTATCTCCTAGGAAAAAAGCACCCCATTTTCTTTTTTCTTTTTCTTTTTTTTTTAACAGCCAATCTGCATAATATCTATAAAGACATCATTGTTAGCAAGTTAGTTACAACTGTCAAAATTTTCCAATGTTTTCACATATTCACAATCACACTGTTCAAAAAAATATCAATAACCCACTACCAGAAATATATCTGGCTAAAAAAAAAAACAGACATAAATATGGTAACTAAAAAAAAATGCTTGAGCCTTTTACATTCAATTAGAGTTGATATAATAACTTTTGGATTTTGCTGCAATATACGCCAAACGCTTTGCAAGATTTTGAGAGGCCAGTGCCATGGCTTGACAGGTTAACCTTTACCTACAGCGTTAGCAACCCCCATGTGCTCAAGTTCGAAACCTGGCTGCTCCACTTCTGATCCAGCATCCTGCTGATAAAAGTTCTTTCAAAGGAGAGGACATTGAAGCTAAGACCTTACCACTGTGGATGAAGGAGGGAGAGAGGAAGGGGAGAAGTCACGCTCCTTCCAGGAAACCCAGGAACAAGTTGTCTCTTCTTGTATCCTGACTCAATAGCATTGAAAAGAGTCAAGTTTTTGATGTAGGAGTTAGGCGTTGGGATGCCTGTATCTTATATCGGAATGTCTGGGGTCCAAGCTCTGGCCAGTTCCTGACTTGGGCCTTGTCCAGCCTAGACTTTTACAAACAACTGGGGAGTGAGCTAGCAGACTAAAGTGCTTTCACTCTTTTTCTCTGCCTTTCAAATAAGTAAATAAATTTTAACAAAGGACATGAATCCAAGTTGCTAGACAGAAGACTTTCTCCAAAAAGCTGGGGAAGACCCAGGAGTATGTGATCCAGAAAAGCTTTGACATCAGAGAAGTCAATACGACAAGACATTGAGTGCAAGGAGAGGTAAGAGCAGGGAAGGTGGAGAAATCAGCCAGTAGGGCAGTAGGCCACAGAAGAGTGAGAGGCACTGGGCAGTAGGCAGGCAGGCAGGCACTGTTGGGACCATGTGCCCGTTGTCTGCAGGACCACAGCCCCGATCTGGATTTGGAGCCACAGCTGCAAAGTTCAGGGAGGGAATCTGACGTGAGCAGAATAGAGCATCATCCTGAGGGTGGAATTTTTAAAAGGGTCCTAGGATGGAGCCTTGGGCAGAATGCAAGATGGGAGCATGTTATCCAAATTCCAAGAAGGAACAGATGAGAATGCTGATGAATAAGCTATGGTTGGTAATAAATATGCTTTTCATAGATACCGGCAAAGCCAAAATCAAAGGGATGACTAATAAGGGTTTCTAGGCATCTCGTGCAGCCATGGTGGCAGGTGAGGAGCTGATTTTTGGCATGCAACTTAATGTTATGGTGGAATTACCCTCAAGGAGGCAGCTACCTCCTTCACTAACAGGTCCTTTCACAGCTCTGTATACATCATGCCTTGGAAACCAGACTCAAGCACCCTCAATCTCTTCAGTCTTGTCACTGCTTTCATTCAGGAACCTTCTGGGACTAGGCACCTAGTAAAGAATTCCTCAGGGAGGTGGTGAGAGCCATACCTGAGGCCTTATAGGAGTGTTCACTGCCCAGGATTCTGCAGCCAAGCTATGGATAAATCTCCCAGGGATTGATGTTGATATAAGCATCCCATACAAGCGTGGGTTCAAGTCCTGTTCACTCTGCTTCTGATTCAGCTCTTTCTTACACACCTGAAAAAGCAACAGAAGATGGTTCAAGTGCTTGGACCTCTGCTATCCATTTGGGAAACCCAGATGGAGTTCTCGGTGCTTGGCTCAGCCCGGCCTATCCCTAGCTGTTGTGGCCATTTGGAAGAACAAGTCAGCAAATGAAGATCTCTCTATTCCTCTCTCTTGCAACTCTGCTTTTCAAATAAATATGTAAACAAACAAACGAATGAATGAGTGAATAGATCAATAAATCTTTAACAAAAATCCCTTCCTGTAGCCAAAAGCCAGATGTGGAGCAGGGACTTGGTCATTTTATGTTTTTGCAGATTTCTGTTTAAGTGGGATGAACTGTAACTGGAAGAGCTTTCAGCTTACAAATGTGTGAGGAGAAATTG